AGGCCAGAAGAGATAAAACAGTTAAATAGTTCAAAGAAAATTAAATTACAAAAAGGAAAAAAAAATCCTATATTCCTTATTTCCTATTCTGCTAATCACTACAGCTACACTAGATTTATATTGTGGCCACTTTGGGGTCCTAACACATTAAAATTATATTGTATATTATATTATCAAAATGTTTTACTGTCACGTCACTTTTGTGTAGCTCCTATCTTACTTTACAAAATCTTACAAGAGTCATTAATCTTTAAACAACCAGAAGTTTCCTTACTCTATCAAAAAACCTCCCACATTCAATATGCCTTAAGTACATTTGTGACCTTGTACAATGTAAACCAGTGGTTTAGGAAAAGTTTTACTACCTAAATATTTGCTCTGTTCTATTAATTTATCTACAGCATCAACTGCTGTGGTTGTCAGCAGTTAACATACAACCACATCTCTGTGCTTCCCTTTCTTCTAACTGTGATATTATTTCCACTCAAGTGTCAAACAGACTATCCTTGTACCTTATTTACATGACTGCAGAATTGAATGAGACGATAACAATGCTAACACAGCTGCAGCATCATTTGGCTAAATGCTAAAATGCTGTTTGTTGTTATCAATTATAGCCGGTGGATTCTTGCAAATGCCCAATTAGGAAACCACTATGGAGGGGCAGAGGAAACATAGATTAGTTTCACAGATTATCTGTCTCATGTACTACTGTCAGGGTATAGTGAAAGTTTCAGCAAATATGCCAAAAATAACTTTATAAAGGTTAGCTATTGGAGTTATTAACATAACAAAGGGGAAAAAAATACCAAGGCTGCACACTAGCACACGATAGATATCTCACATCAGGAGAAACAAATAATTCATAATCACATTTTACAAGTTTAGAAGTCAACTCGATTTTGAAAACCGCAAGCCTCTCTAAAGTACTCCTGTACGTTTTGTGCTGTTATCTGCCACTAAAACAAGGCCATTTCTTTTTTAAAATGATAATGAAACAGAGCCCCAGTCAATGTGACAGAGCAAGATCCAAAGATCCAGCCTGAGACAAAACAAAAGATAAACAGGTGTTTAAAACTCACTGCTGTTAGTTTGTGGTCAAAAGATGCAGATACATATAGCCAACACTGCTAAAAGACTACAGAAAGGGGGAATTGAGCTTTCAGGCAAAAAGAACTGCTGTAATTGGGTCTCAGTAACTCATGATGTAAGAGTCAATATAGGCTTTGTTAATCCTGTCGGTTCAGGGTGGGCCTGCACACGTCGGACAATGAGGTAAGCAGTAACAGCATGTATGTGACACACAGCACAGAGAGAAATCCCGCTTATACATGGACCCCATACGTACCAGCATTTTCTGACCCCTCCATGGTGGATATCTTTTCAACAGCCACTGAAAAATAAACAATGGTCAAGTTATTTTTAATTTGACATGAACCCAACTGACCTGTTCCCCTAGCTACAGACCAAACTCAATTAGTGAAACAGTGTGGGCATTTCAATACTGAGTGTAAATCTTTAAACTGTGAGAGTTCAAATGAAAACAAGGCTACTGCTTCATGTTGCATAAACAGATTTCACTATACCTCCAGAGGCCACCTTAAAGGTGCATTAAGTCATTCTTATAAAAAATTATATTTGCTGAAACTTTCACTATATCAGTCAGTAGAACATGAGACAGTTAATCAGTGAAACAATCTGGTTCCTCTGGCTCCTCCTAGTGCTCCTAATGGTATTTGAAATAATTCACTGGGCCTGGATGAAGACAATGAATCAGAACAAAAAATATGTTAAAATGCTTTGGGCTGGTGGACTCAACAATAATCTATGGCTCTGATTGCTTGTTTTTGTTCAGGTGGAATTTTGTATTTTATTGTTGTACATTTTATCCTGCACTAGTACCATCAAGTAGTTAATGTTTAACCAAATAGGATTTTTTAAATTTTTTTTTATAAAAGTTGCCTACTGTCGCTTTAACAGATTTTACTATGCCACTATGTCCACATGGCAACTTAAGTCAAGGCTGGGGAAAGACAACAGCTTTACATTTCAAGTTTGTGTTGGAGAAAAGTTCCATTGGGCGACATGGCCCATGGTTTGCATAAATGGGACACTAGTGGAAGGTTTTGGAACCCGTGGCATGCGGGATGTGTCCAACACAGTGTGTGTTGGTCTAAGCTATTTATTGGGAGTTATGTAGATATGGGATATGCTAACATAAAATGAAAGCGGCCGTGTTGCTGTAGCACTCAGCCTCTGCCAGGTCTGCCTGCTCGCGGTTTCTAATGACACATTTTGCCCCACTCTTTACCAGCAGTGCGTCAGAACATCCACGTCACACCAAACACTCACGTTCCCACTAATTTCTTTCCAATGACGAGCCCAGCGTTTACCATCAGGTGAAGTCGGACTGTTACAAAATGACAGAGGTGACCACCAGCACCTCAGTTCTTGGTTCCATTTACTGGTTAGAACAAACAGTTGCTCTGCCAAACACATTAACTAAACACAGAGATAAGAGGCGTTCAATTGAGAAACCACACGGGCTAACCAAAACGCTAGCTAGCTTCCGCCGGTTAGTTGTAACAAGCTAATGCCGGCTATGTTGCTGCCTTTAAAGCCAGTTATGACTGTTCGACAAGCTACAGCACCACTCGACTGCTTTAGTAACGTTAACATTGCAGGTTACAGTTCAAGTTAAACAGCGTCCGGCATACCAAGTAAATTAGAGTTACACCAAACAGCCAGGCAACTAGCTAACCTAACGTGTGTTGCGCTTCAAGGAACGCGTGTCTGTACAGTGGCTAGCAAGCTAGCAACTACCCAGCCCAGACTGCCGTTAGCTGAATGCTAGCTAGCGTAGCTCCCCAACGTGACTGTGAACTTACCAGCAGAGTCGAGATTTTCCGAATGTGCCTTAATGGGAAAAGACGGAACAAATTCGGCGGCGTTTACATTGGGCACAAACGGTTTAGCGTTTACATTTAAGGTTTGAAATGCCGACTCAAGTTGTCCGTCGATTGTGGCCTCCACATCGTCCTCTTGTTCCCAGGAATCAGGGGCAGTGTCTCTCGGGTCCATCGTGGGTCTTGGATTTTCACTACTGTGATATTTGAGCTACGCAGTTCTCGGTCTACGTAAGTGTCCGCCCAAAACCCGGTGTTAAGGTCACCCCTTGGAATGATTAGGAGCGTCCCAACTTTAAGTGCAATGTTTTGTCTCCGATTCCGGTGAAATAAAACAGCCGGTTTCTGTCGGTGAGACGCCAGAGAGGATATTCGACTCAGCACTCCCAGAGACAGTCCGCGTGAGCTAATGCGTCCCGTCAGTCGACGTGCTACCCGCAGTGACCTCTGGGATATGAAGTCTTATTCTAAAGCGGAAAACATTTGTCTTGAAAGAGTCCCGAAGGCAAAAAAAACTACATTCCCCAAAGGCTAGAGTTTACGTCAGTAGTTTGTGACCTTTTCAGGAACCGCAGATTCGATTAAGGGTTTCTTTTAGCAAACATGGATGTATGGTAGCAAATGGAGAATGACTTATATGCTTAGTAAAACAACTTGACTCACTCACTAATATTATGTGCATTGATTTTTTTTTTGGTTTGGAAAGCTCATTATACTTAGAGACAACATTTTAAGTTGCGCACTGAATTTTTAACATATTCTAGGATTGCAAAATTCCTCATGGTGAATTGTTGAGAAAGTTTTGGAACACCAATAATAAGGTTATTAAAACGTTTGCCCTGTCACTCAAACTAATAAGGGAAATAATGACCCAATGGTCCATAATTTAATAAAAAATATATGTTTGGTTTTGTAATGGCCTCCACACACCAACCCGACGGCCGACCGTCGGCAGAAAAGCAGTCGGACTGATCAGTCGGCTCCCGTCTCCTCGAGTCGGTCAAAAAAATGCCTCCGAACACACCAAACCGACGCCAACTGGAGCGTACGTTCTTGCGCGGAGGCGGTAATGCGCCACATAACAGCAGGCGGCGGCTAATCTGTGTTGTCGCCAAAAAAAATGAAAACCGGAAATAACGGAGAGAGTGTTTGATAGTAGTCAACAGGATCGTTAATTGTCATTACTCGCTGAACGGAAAATACGATGGCTAATAATTAACAAGATACTGGCGTTGGCGTAGTATGTTTACCATTAGTCACTTCCCGGTTTTCTCGTGCACTCACTGATTCGCTATCAACGGGATAGCACTCCACCAATCAGATTGGTCAATTGAGGCACCGAAATGAAGGCTGACGCTGACTCCGACTGACGACGGGAAAACACCGAACCGATCGAGTCACCGAACCTCGCCCGACTGTCTGACGCGTCCGACGGCTGAATAATCGGGTTGGTGTTGCGGAGGCCCTTAACACACCAATCTCCAATCACTATTAATAAAGTAAGAAACAAAAGTCCCTTTTAATTAATTTTTTCATTGCAACCAATGAATGCATTTATAACCAGATTTGGGTACAAGAGGTGGTGCCAAACAGCTTGGTTATAAGTCAATACAAACCTATAATAAGGAAGTCTAATGAACACCATTACGACAGTAGTAATGCAACATAAATATCATGCAACTTTTCCTGTAGAGCTCCTCCGGATAATCCTGTCTGATCAAGTGAACTGAACTAATATATATACAACACACTTTATATTATGATATAAAATATTTTGTGAATTTTAAATATGCCCTCGGTTCGAAATCAAGTCCAACAAATAAATTACCAGTTTCAACCAGAGGAAGTTGGCCCCTTTTGTAAAAAAGTAGTGCCCCTGCGGGCATAACTTCAAATTCAATAACTAGCCAACACTCACCTTTAGACTGAGCAGTACATAAAGAAGTGATATACTTAATAATTGTTTGCTATTATTTGATTGATAATAAGTCTCTTTCAGACAAAAGCATCATCAATAAAAGCAACAACGTCTACAATATAATTGCAAATTCAGGACTACTTCAATGGGCTTAAAAGACTAAATAAAGCCAGGATGTGTTGCGCATTAGATTGTACATGTGTTGCAATTACTGTAACGCAACATTCCATATTACATTTTATTGTGGTGTATGTCAAAATGTAATTATCACTGCCAGTACATAAATTGATTTTTGCAAAGGTGGGTCCCAATTAAAGTCTCAAGTTTTGGCTATGAAGTCCAAAGTCAAGTTGAAATAAGTCCAGTCCTAAACCCCTTGTGCTTCACATCCCCAAACAAATTATGATATATATTTTCCACAAACTGAGTAAAAAATTAGCAGTAGAATGGTACATTTTATTTATAACATTTTATTTAAAGGTGCCTCTCTGGGCACTCGAGGACACCGTACAACACAATAAAAAATAAAAACAGTAAAGAAATAAGAAACAGATAAGAAAAACGACAATGTAAGATAGTTAGTGAGGTATGCAATTCTGAATAGGTGAGTTTTTAGTCCTTGATTTGAAGAGTGTGAGAGAGTCCAGGTTCCTGAGGTCTGGTGGGAGTGAGTTTCCAGAATCGGGGGGCAGAGCAGCCGAAAGCCCTGCAATTCCCCATGGTGACGAGCGGGGGGCGGGAGGGACAGAGAGGTGGACAGAGGAGGCAGATCTGAGGAACGGGAAGGGGTGGCAATGTGGGAGGAGTTTCGGAACCAGATAATGGAGGGAAAGGTTGTGATGTGCCTTGAAATTAAACAGGAGGATTTGAAGTCAAGTGCGGAGTTTGACCGGGAGCCCAGTGTTGCTGCACAACAGAGGTAATTGTGGGTAGACCGAAGCAGAAGGGAGGTTGCAGTAGTCGATGGCGGGAGGTGACAAGGCTGTGTACAAGAATGGCAGTGGAGTGGGGAGAAAGGGAGGGGCGGAGGCCCGATTAATATTGCGTAGGTGGAAATATGCAGACCAGGGTGATGTTCATTGATATGGGATTGGAAAGAATAATGTGCTGTCAAGGATGACACCCAGACTCTTAACCTGGGGGGAGGGGGAGACAGAGGAGTGTCGATGGTGAGGGAAAAACTGGTCAGCTTTTGAGAGGGTTGATTAGTGCCTAATAAGAAAGAAATTCCTGTTTTATTCACTGTTTAGTTTGAGGAAGTTGGAGAAACAGGATTTGAGTTCATGAAGCAGTCCAGTGAGGGAGGAAGTTGGGAGAGTGGAATTGGTTTGCTGGAGAGGTAGAGGCTGGGTGTTCATCCGCGTAGCAATGAAAGGTGGATGTTATTTGCCGGAAGATATTGCCAAGGGGAAGGACGTAGATGATGAAGAGAAGGCCCAGGACAGAGCCCTGGGGCACACAGTGGTGACGGGGGACGGGTGGGAACTGCAGGATTGGAGTTGGATGAACCTGAGTGTGGCCTGAGAGGTAGGTATTTAAACCAGTCAAGGGGTGTGTGTGAAATACCAATTGGAATTTACAGAACCAATTCATTTACAGAAACAAACTGGTTGGCTTTTTGGAAATTGTTAGTACTTTCAAATAAACATTGAAAATGATTTTAAGGCAAACTGGATCCATGCGGTGATGTGTTTTGCACCTGACAACACCACCCTTTATGCTTTGTCAATGTGATTGGCTTACTGTTCAAAAACCTGATTTTAAATATAATCTATTGGTTTATAGGCGCGTGCTAATAAACAAATTCTAAAACCAAACAAACCGGTTTGTGTTTTTATATCGTTCTAAGGTGACTCAATGAAAGGATCTGATCATGTGGTAATGGTGGGATGCTTACCCTAAATGTAAACAAAATGCCTGCTTAGGCTAGCTAGCTAAATTACATTAATCGTTAACTAAGCTAATTGGCTAGCATTTTTTCTTAACATTAGTCCCTAGAATTGTAACTGGCTACCCATCAATTGATTGTAGAATTATCTGTGAATAAGGCAAGGGATTTGTTAACATTCAGCTTCCTTTAAGATGGACTACGTATTTTTCCCTATTTATCTTTTCACTTGTCTTTTACACATAGACTAGGCACACACATAGCATATCTAGTACAGGGAAAGGAAAAACGTTGACCGAAGTTTTGCTCAACCTGTTTCTGGAGCACGAGGCAAAAAGGGGTGGAGTTTAGGAAGGGTCCAATTTTGCCTCCGACCCCAAGTCCATGTACTTAAGTCCACACTTATCAGCAGTAATCAGTAGTATTTTTCATACATTTTTATTTGTTTTGGTACCGCTGTTTTGCCTTATTTTGTGTTCGTTGTCAAGGTTAGGGTTCAGATTGCACAAAAGTCTGAAAGCAGGTTACTGACATACACATTAACTGATTTAAAGTATATCTGTTGTAACAAAAATTTGCAATTAGTGTCAATAATACAGATATGGGGAAGATATCAAGTCATTCCAAGTCAAAAGGCATGGTCCAAGTGAAGTCAAAGTCACATTGCAAACTTGTTTTGATTTTGTTGAGTCTAAAATCATTAGATTAAATTCTCAATTGACCCTTCCTAAGCCCCGCCCCTTTTGTGACTTCTGTCAACTTTCTCCTTTCCTGAACTTAGATATGCTATGTGCTAGGCTTTGTCTCTGTGAAAAAGAAACAACATTCTGAAGATGGTCGAAAAATAAAAGCGACATAACAGCCACATCTCAGTTTGTAAGCTAATTGTTGTGCACCAAGCAGTCAAGACACAAGTAACAGGTTTTAAATTCAAAAGGTGGGTTTATTTTCCCCCCAAAAGATTCAACAAAACAGATTATTGAAGGCAACTGAATTAACTGAGTTATAGGGCCCTTAAAGAGGTCAAAAAACAAAAAAAACACAACCCTACGAATAATTAAGGCTACCAAGACTTTAACTCACCTAACAGACCTACCAGAATGAGACATGAGGACAAAATATATACTGGCTGATCAAACCAATAAATACACATAGGTGAGGAGCACATAGACAATTATTGAAAGTCAACACAAAGAATCACTGATCCCCCCTGGTGTCAGAGCTCTTGGTATGGTCCTTGGCTCTGCCCTCAGCCCCAACTTTTGCCAAACCAGGAAGTAGAACTAAGCAGTCAGGTAACTCAAAGACAAACAGAAATGAATAAACAACATATTAAACCAAGTAGCAATATGACACAATCACACAATGTAAACTAAATGTGTGCTAATCTAGAAAACAATGTATTGTTAAGGTGCTAATAAACAAATTCTAAACCAAACAAACGGTTTGTGTTTTATATCATTCTAAGTGACTCAAATGAAAGGATCTGATCATGTGGTAATGTGGATGTTAACTAATGTAAACAAAATGCTTGCTTACTAGCTAGCTAATTTACATTAATCGTTAACTAGCTAATTGGCTAGCATTTTTCTAACATTAGCTTAGAATTGTAACTGGCTAGCCA